AATAGTTGGGGTATTGGAATAGTTTTGAACCCCAAAGTTAAAGTGGGATGTATCGCAAAAAAGTTGAAGAAACACTGCTATACCGGGACAAATTTTTTTTATAATTTTAATAGAATATTGTTTTAAAAGTTGGCTGAATTGATAGTATTTTAAGACTTAGATTAAGAGTGATTCTAAATTGATAAGCTAGGGCCATTGCAATACAAATATTGAATAAATTTGAATACTAAACATAGACCGTGATTTTCAGTTAACGTGGAAGGTTCTTAGTTTTAGATAAAATAAATTATAACTGATCTCAATGATTGTTTTGAAAAATCTATGTAAATAAAATATAATATTAAATAAAAATGAAAATAGTTAAAAAAAAATAATAATAAATTCAATATTAAAAAACGAAATTGATAATTTAAGAAAATTAATATTAAAGTTTTGCTAAAATGTAGTTTTGCATTAAATGCTTTTAAATGTAAAAAAAAAAAAATAAAATCAATCTTTGTAATTTTAATTAAAATTTTTTAAATTTTATAATTTAAATATTTAGATATATATTTAAATATATATAAATTATATATATATATAAATTTATAAAATTAGCAATAAGTGAACTAACATATCCAGACTAAATTATATTCCAGCTTGAAAAATAATAATAATTAAAAAATATCAAAGGTGTAAAATATTAATGATTAATGATTAATTGAAGTATTGTACTTTATATGGTGAATATATTTGTATAAAATGCAAAAACACACATATTATTTATTTATATATATAGAGAGCATAAAAGGCGTGAACAAATACATATATACGAGTATGTAAGTAGTTTATAAAATTACTAAAAAATAAATTTATAAAATAAAATTTCCAAAAAAAATAAGTATTAAGTATTAAGTGATTGAATTGAGTCGTGCAAGTCATGACTAAGCTCAGCTTCTTCTCATTACTGCAATTCACATTGTTAATTTGGCAAACTTTTTTAAATGTTGATAATAAATTTAATTTATTTAAGATTTAGTTCATAATTATTATCAATAATAATTATTTATTATTGATTGAATTTAAAAAATACGACACTATTTTTTTAGCAGTATAACTTAAGATTAAAAACAAAACATACTCGTAACTATAATTTTAATGTGTAGATTTAAAATAAATAAATATTTATAATAAATTGTAGTAGATACATAAAAAATATGAGTGGTCATATAATCAATAAATGAATCAAAATCAAAATAATGTTTAATAATTTTAATTTCAAAATGTGCCAATATATATTTTGCTGTTCTATTTTTTTTGGAATTACAAACCGGTGGTCGTAGTTGCAGGACAGTGAACCTTATACAGTAATCCAGTAATCCAGTGAACCTTATACGGTAGATGAGTTCCGCATTATAAGGCTATTCCCGTATACACCCGTGCAAAGCTACGCGAAGCTAATAATGAACTGTACAAATCCCCGTATTATACGGGGGACTGAAATCGCGTAATATGAAAACGCTTCATAAGGGTACCTCATTATAGGGGGGATTACTGTATATATAAAAAGTGGTTCGATACATCTGTTGTAGAGTACACTTAACCATTTGTTCACATCCGAATTCGCTTTAATTATACTACAAAATCAGAGGTTCTGGTTTACATCCTGTATACCAACATTATTTTTTATTAGTGTTGTAAAAACCCACAGAGAAATCGTATAAAGAAGCAACATGAATGGATTACAATACAAATACGCGAGATTTGATGGAATGGGTACCCACACACCCATGATGAAATTTTGTTGTTAAAATATATTGGCCCTAAGAAACACAGCGAGGAGAATAATGATTGGGAGTGTAGGAGAATTGGTGTTAAGTTAAATGAATTTTATCATCTGAATGAGGAAAGCGTGATAATTAAAAGGCACATAGGTAAATATGTGTGCGCAATATTAGAGGTAAAACAGATAAGCGATGTCGGGAGAAGTAAAGCTGCAGTAGGGATACATATTGGGTACAGATGTATGTATGCATGACAAGTGAGTAAAGATACATTCTGAAACGATTTGGACAAGCACAGGCTTGCTGCACATAAAAGTCATCTAATCATATAGATTATAGCTGAAGCCATGTGTACTGACTGAATATAGTCTCTTGATTGTATTGATACCCGAATTCACTAATAATGCCTGTTACAGAGAGAGATCAAAGTTTTTAACGTGATTACCTATCTTTAAGTCTTAACATCATCGTGCTTTTAACACACTTATAAGTATAACATAATGTGCCGATTGTGATTCCAAGGAATTCCGGAGGTAACAATTGAAGCTCTACATTTAGAAATAATTTTCTCTTTCATAGAAAAGAATGCCTTTGTTATTCTTTAGGGTGCAGCACCCGATCCAGAAATGCAGCTTCACATCGAACGAAACTAATATAATCATTTTGCTCAAATAATTTTGAGCTTTAAATGTAACCACAAATATACTCCCATTAAAAGGGCTAACCTTTAGTAGTTTTTCTTCAACATTCTTCAACACTGTTATGTCAGATTTACACGTAAATAATATATATACACTATCATATATACATCAAACAGTGTCAGGAAGTACCTACTGGATTTTATTTTAATATCCTTTCCTCCGGAGATGTCTTCGTTTCAATAGTTATATTCAAGATGTCACGAAAAATATCGATAATGTTAAAAATAATTAATCATATCATATCATATCCGTTAGATAAATATGCTGAGCTTCAAACTCATCAAAATTCTACGGAGATCTGTTTACAGTGGATTATTCAAATCGTCACAATTGGATAAAAGTGTTTTAGACAGTAACTCGCGCTTCATTAGGGAAAGAAAAAGAAAAACCGAAGAATGTTGGAATAGATTTCGCTTTAATCAATTCTATTTTTTTAGTGAGACTAAATCTTGAGCAGTTGGGTTGAATTTAAAATTTGATACTACTTACGTTGCTATTGAGCGAATTAGTGACGTCAATATCTTATGTTGTAATATTATGAATAGCATATTGAATAAAAAGATAATGTCATACTTAGTAGTAAATACAACTTAAAGATACTAGAGCTTATTAACTGTGAGGATTCTTGCTCGATTGTGATGTTGGTCAATAAGACCAATATTTTTGAGGAGTTGAACTTTCTCTTCCATTTACTGTAATAATAGGTGGCTTTCGGAATGTGACTCTTAATAGTCATTATGGGTGCTCATTTTTCCTGAGACGAGATAATTATCTGCGTAGCAAATTGGTTTAGCGCATTAGGTTGCTATTTACATTTTATTTTTTATTATAAACGATTAATATCATTCTCTGATATTCTGAAATAGTACACGTGTTGTTTTAGAGTCACTTTTTTGTAGTGCTCAACACTCAATCACTTTACGAAATTCAGAAAGTCTAAGTGAAACGGTTCAGATTAATAAGTCTTTAAAGTATTTACGTTAAGAACTTTCAATTTTACCTTTTTTTCTTTCAAGTACTTGGTCAGTTAAAAAGGAAATAATCAGTTACCATTTATATAGGCATGTATATAAGGTGTAACATAACAGTTTCGCAAAAACTTGCAGTCTTTTAAGGCTGAGTAACAAAAAAACTGTTTTTTAAGACTAAAGATATTTTACTTGATATAACATAGGCTGTATAACAACAAGAAATATTTTTTTAAAGAAACAAACGAATATATATAATAATTGGCAAGTCCACTTCTGTCATACGTATTGCCAACTTGACCATATTTAGAAACTTGCTATGTTAAAATAAGCGCACGACAAGTTTTAAAGCAACTGAAGAGAGAAATAAATTTAACAAAATATTTTGGTTCATTTTCCAAAGAACAGCAAAAATAATATAAAATATACAAAATAAATAAAAAAAAACCAAAACTAAATATTTTTAACACAGCAAGTGTCTGTTTTTGTGAGCAATCAAAGCAATCACGGCAATCATGACAATCTCGGCAACCACAAGGTATCTCGTATCTTACATACTTAAAACGCCTACAACTTAACGTTCGTTTATACTAATTGCTTACACTACACCAAAAACATTTGACTTAAACGTTCTCGACTTCTTAAAGCGACGATGATAGTTTAGTTGAGCTCGGAACTTTGCGCGGATTGGTACGTTTGACGCTGTGTAGAGCGGATTATTACGTTATGATAAATGGTAAATTTTTTACGGGCTTACCGCCCGGTATGATAGAACGTACTCGAGGTACAAATCGCTTGGAATCGCATTTGTTTTGGCCGGATGATACAAAATTAGAATCAGCCGTGGAGAATCGTGTAAGACGTAGAGCAAGTTTACAACTCGGAGAAGTTGAGAGACCACGTCTTAGGACGCAAACATCTATGGATTTAGATGATGTTGATACTAAAAAACGATTTCACAAAGAGTTTGCAAAATCCTCTATACAATTCTATGATAATATAGCAGAAGAAGGTGAACAACATTATAATCCACCAGCGCGCAGAAATAATAAGAGTTTAAAAAAAGAGATCACATTAAAACCAACTGCCACAAAATTCGATTTACCTGATGAGGAATATAATACTGCTTTAAAGAAAAAACAGACACTTAGTTCGAAGATACAATTCTACGATTTCATAGATGATGATAGGCACAATCGTAATAATATCAGAAGACCGAAAATGGATATGAATGATAAAAAGGAAGTTGAACGTAATAATAAAAATAGTCCTAAATTGCAAAATAAGCGTAATGTCCGTATACTCAGTGGAGGTGAAGAGCCAGAAAGGAATAGAGAATTTATTAAGGAACAAAATACACCAGAGAGAAGTCAAAATTATGAAAGTGATTATGAAGTAGATGAGAATTTTAGACGAGGACGAGATAATTATGAAAGACCGGCAAATAAAAGTATTGCGAAAAATAGAGAAAACTCACATATGTCACAACAAATGATACGAAATACAATGGAGGAACGAAGAGGTAAGGCAGCAGCAACCAGAAATAGCGATAGAGTTTATAATGAACAAGAAGACGAATATGAAGTTCCAACATATTCAAGAAATATGAATGTGCAATCTAGACAAAATAATATGCCTAAAAAAATACTTAAAAATTCAAGAGGAATGCGTGAAGAATTCAATGATTTTGGTACAGGAGAAATAACTGACTATATAGATGAAGATTTAAGGAGTATGCGCATAAGAACATCTCCAAAGAAACATGTTAGCTATGAAGATGAAGTCTATGAGCAGGAAAGTGTTTATCATGAGCCAAGAGTTAATGATGTAGCCACATATAGACGCACCAATTATAGAACTTCCTCCTCAGCCTCTAATGGTTATAATAAATCTCCTTATATGAAAACAGGAAGCAGTCAACAACGCCAACAATTTGTATCTAATAATACAGATTTTGATTATGAAAATGCAGATTACGATCAATATATGGAAACTGGTAATGAAATCACCACACAAGCACAACAATCATCATTAAAGAATAATAACTACAACAACAATGACAACAACAACAAGAGAAACCATAACCACAACTATAACAATAACAATAACAATAAAGTTAAACTTAATAATCAAACACAATCATCGCGGAAAATCACACCAAAATTGTCAGCAACACCAGCAAAAGCTTCAATAAAAACAACAACAACAACAGATACAACAACAACAACATTTAATGATGCTGATACGTATTCAGATGCCGACGTAGCAGCGGTGGATGGTAAAAAGCACTTGCGCAGCAGCATTTGCTTTAGTGGCGGCGAAATAGTTGCTAATAACATCGTCGATACAAAAACTCCCACTTCGAATAATCGACGCAGCAGTGCGCGCAGCATCTCTGCCTCTCAACGTATTAGTGTGGGCTTACCAGATTGAGCGCAGTTTACTTTGCTACGTTGTTTATATTGCATTGTTGTATTGTATTGTATGCTGTCATGTTAATAAGAGTTAACTAAGAGTTAACAAAGGGTTACGGGTTAAGGTGGAATTTCTTGTTAAGTTGCAAATTGAAGTAAACGTGTTCGTGTGTTTGTTTGTTTGTTGTTGTGTGTGTGTGTTTAGATATTGCACTTAAAATGTAACAAATTAATTAAGATTTGAATATTGTTTAGTTTCTATGAATGTGTGTGTGTGTGTGTGTGTGTGAATATATATGCAATTTTGTTAATGTAACGAATTCATTAAACAATTTCAAGTGCTGCAAATGCTAATTTCGTTTCTGTTTTCTTTGTTTATTGATTTTTCTGTTTTTTTTTTGTTTATTAAATAAAATTTTTTTTTAATAATTTACATAAAAAAATGTATATATCTCGTCCCACTTTAAATTCAGTAAATAATTTATTTTAAAAAATTTATTATAATTTGTATGAATATAAATTTCAGAAAAATTAAATTAAAATAATTTATTATTCAAATAATTTGTATTATAAAAAAAATATATTAATAAAAACATTAAAAGTATTAATTGAACTAAGGGCTTCTGGTTTTTTACTTCTATATCTTTTATTTGAAATTGTTGTTTTTATTGTATTTATTTATTTATTTATTAATAATGATAGTTATTGCATTTTTGTTGTATTTTTATTGTATTTTTATTGTTGTAAAAGAGCCCAATAAACATTTCCAACCGATGCAAAATGTAACAGAACTTAAATTTGAAGCAGTATTTTACGATCAACAAATTCGATAGTAAACAAGCCATATCGGTTAAAAGTTAACCGAATTTTTACAAGAACTAAAAATTTCATAAAACTGCAAACAACTTAAGATTACTAAGATCTTAACTTATACTATGTTCAGAAAGTCAAATTTCCTTAATTTCAAAAAAATTAAATTAAGGTTATTTCGAAAGTGTTTATACTGCGCCAAATTAAGAAAATCATATGTTTCTCGTTTACATTTCGAATATTAAAATTACATGCTCCAAACATCATTTGTGTCTGGGAAATTTTGAAAGTTAAATTAAATTTATCGGATTTCAGATATGTGAATTATTATTTTTCACTCTATTTTAAATTGATAATAGTTACAGTTTTTCTTTATATTCAAATTTAAAAATAATAAAATACAAAATATTTTTTTAAAAATAAAAAAAAATGTTTGATAATTTTATATAGAGGGTGAGTGTTGTTGAAAGTGGATGGTAACAAAATGCTTTAAACCTTACTAGTACACTACAACTATTTTGTATTCTTAATTTCATTTTTGTTTCTGTTATAGTTTTTGAGTTATAAAATTAAAAAGCTTATCATATTTGATTTCCTGTAAGTTCCGGGTTCAAAATAGTAAAGGAAAGAAAATCTTATTTCAGAAACTAGATATAAGGTAAATTAATATTTTTACTGTTTCAAAAATAACGAATTTTGATAGTCGAATTTTAATTTTGCCTCACTGTGCAATGAGTTTAGTTTTTAATAGAATTATGAAATCTATTTTTCAAAAGTAATATATATATAATTATATAAAAATTATAATTATAAATATCATATACCATATATTGCTAATTATATATATGTGAAATACATATTGATAGCTACTTAGTTAAATACAAACCGTTTTGAAGCATCTAAAACTGATAAGCAGTAGAGTATTCTAATGTTCTTATTAAATCCTAATATCATGAAGATTGTCGATGTCATCCGATTCGCGAACAAAGTTCTCATATATGACCTGTTCATTGAAGTGCACTGCGAATTCTGCCCCATCATAACTGAGATAATAATCTACAAGTGGAAATGGAATGAGCATACTTTGCGTAAAAATCATAATGAAATACAAGCACTAGATTGGAACCTTCAGGAGTGAATGAAACGTGGTCGCTCCAAAACAACGTGGAAACGGATCAAATCAAGCGATTAGCAAACAACAGGATAAAATAAAAACGCTTTATGGACCTGGGCCTGAACCTCGGCATAGGGCCAATTCCAATAGAGAATCATCATCATCATGTTCACCTATTTAGTTGGGTATCATAATTGTACTCAGACTACACTATCACAGTCTGTGAACAGATGGAACGCTCAATATCTATTTTTCTATAGCTTGCTTGAGTTCAAAATTCGATAAATTGTAAATTTGCTTTAATAAATTAATTTCTTACTTTTTTCCAATTGGTTAAGGTCTTTTAAATCATGTTTATGTTTCATAATATATAATATATTTCGTCTGACTTTGGGTTTATAGCATCTGAGCTGGGGAATTATCCGGTTTTGTAGGTTAGAGGAAGGTATTTTATATTAATAATAATTTTAATTTTTTATAATAATTTGTCTCTATAATTTTAATTTATATATTATAATACTAAAATTAACCAATAACAAAAAGAGGTTTTGTACTTAAAAACCTAAACTATTTTATTTACCAAAAAATTTTATAACCCAAAAAAAATTTAAACACAATGGACACATTCCTTTTACATTGCAACTGCATCGAAGGCATGATCTAATGCTTTCAGCTTCAGGTCTATTGATTTTCCTTCATTAGCAACAAAGAAGGTCATAAATTCTTCAAATGCCTTTTCATCTCTGGCAGCTTCCTTTATACCTTTCTCAGTAGCATAGAGACATCCAAGCGATTTGTTGCATTCCGGAAGACCAACATTAATGTGGTATAATGCATTAGAATGCAAATTAACAGTTAGGACGATACTAGCGGGGTCATTGTCTTTGATAATACGTAAAATTTCTTCGAAAACTTTTTCGTTGAGTACCTTTAACTGCTTGTCTTTACAATATTTGCAATCTTTTAACGCGTCTTGAAAATCCATAAACATGCTTATTAAGGAGAATTTTTCCAATGGATTTTCCATAATATTACTTTCCATTAATGTGAATAACTTTTGTACACGGTTGCACTCAATCTCTTTCATTTCACATTCCTTTTGTTTGCATTCACATTTAAATTGATTGGAAGATTTTCGCGAGAGACAACGTTTAGATGAATTGTCCACCTTAAGACAAACGTTAGGTCTAAGACCTCTACTTTTAAACAAAATCGACGATTTTGGTGTTAGAACTTGTTTTTCAGTTGCAGAAACACGGTGTTCTTCTTTAGAAAATGTGTAGTGTGTTTTCTGTTTGGTCTGTACTTTTCTCGACAAATCGGAGGATTTTGGTGTCACAGTTTCCGTATCAGAATATTGACTTTCTTTTAGCATAAACTTGGATAGTTTTCGGTTGGTCATATAGTTCTTGTACGTAATGGATGAATTTGAAGTTACAGATTGTGACTCACTCAAGTAGCTAAGAGTCTCCTTTGAAAATAAACTGAGAAGATTTTCATTCTTGGTCATATTTTTTAATACACTTGAAGATTTTGGAGTTAAGTTAGCTCTCTCATCAGAACTGTTGTCTTTACACGGTAGGTTGTGAGCTTTCACTTCAGATTGTGCATTTTTGGAATAACCAGAAGATTTTAAGGTTGAAGATTTTGTCTTGGTTTTGTTTGATTCAGTTCGTAACATACCAGGTTCATGTTTTGCACTTTGCTTTTCACTTTCCCTCTTGTAGTTCCTCTTATTACTAGCTGTACTTTTCATTGAACCAGAAGTTTTTGGCGTTGGTACTTTTGCTTTAACTTCAGAATGTAGAGTTTCTTTCTGTTTGCTACCGGTATCTTTCAATATACCAGATGATCTCGGTGTTGCTGCTGCCGATGCGGCTTTACAATCATAAAACTTGTTTGACATTTGTGCATCGGTTTCAATTTTAATGTCAATAGTTTTGAAAACATTTGACGTTTTTGGAGTTATTATTGATTGCAATTCCGTTTCCAATTTTTTTGTGTTGTACACTTCTTTTTTCATTTCTGTAACTTTTGACAATCCTGGTATATTCTGGTATGAATCGATAACAGCTCGCTGTACTGTTATATGATTTACATGACTTTCGACTATACTGCTGCCCCCACTACTGCTACCCAACTCCCTGCTATATTTAGGGTAAGTATGATAGGTGACATCAATGTCGTGCATATTAACATTTTTTTCTGGTATAAGTAATGATTTATATCTGCCAATTTCTTCACTTATTTGTTTTATTTTCTTCTCCAATTGACTGAGACGTTTGAAATCATATTTATGTTTCTTAATATATGTTTCCTCTGATTTTGGGCTTATAGCGTCTGAGCTGGTGTCTGTTATAGTTTTTTGTATAAGGAAATCGGGCTTAGTCCACAACCGACTGAAGTCTATTTTCTCCGGTTTCACGTATGCATCAATATTTATTGCATCTAATATATCTATTTCATTTTGGACTATCTGTCTATACTTTTCTTCATCTATCACATAAAACAAACGTTTTTTGTCATCGTTCACAGTGCTCGTTTGTTTGTTTTCTGTAGATTTCTTCAAGCTTTTCGGACTGAGTTCAGTTATTACGCTGACCTTACGTTTTATTTCCTCTACTGATGTTGATGGCTTTTGAGAGAGTTCAACATTATATACGTCTTTAACTTCATTTCTAATAGATTTTACTATGCTTACACTAGACGTTTTAAGTGCTTTATTAATTTTCAACTCAACATTCCTAGTATTGATAATATCCTTAGGTTTTGTTGTGTCTACTAATGCAGCGTTTCGGTTTTCTAAAAGAGTTTGAGATTTATTGACTTGAGCAGTTTCTGTTTCTGTCACAGATTTCTGTACAATTTTTTCTGTTTCTAATGTGTTAGACACTTTCTTAATCGTTTCTTTCTGCTCGGCCTGATTATCTATATTCTTTGAGCTACTTGGATATAATTTTGCCTTAAGTTCATCAATATACTTGCTTTTGTCTCCACTGTTTTTTGTATTCGCATTCTTTTTATCTGCATTCGCATATAAATGTTTGAATTCAGTAAAGACACTTGTCAATAGTTCATCTCCTCCATACGATTTT